TCTGTATTACCTTCAAAAGTACCAATAAAAAAATAAAAAAAAAAAGAGAAAAACAAGAGTGGCCACTGACAGTTTTAAATAGCATTGCATGATGGAATAAAAACCACTAAATCAAACAAATTACATTTGGCAAAATTGTAACGCAACTCTACCATCTGTTGACAGTCTATCACATAATTCAGACAATCTAGGGAAGCCCAACAATGTTCAACAACAAACTACAGCAATAAGATACTGCAATGAACAGTAGCTTCTAGTGCTCCATGGCAACAACTAGTTGCAGCTATTGAAATCAGAGATTTAGATTATCAAGCTCTAGATTGTCAGCCATGCAAACAAAAAAAAGAAAATATTGTATGATACCTTCTTCAATTAGATTCAAACATATGCTAGCACTTCTCTTCCCTTCAGTGTCTGCGTTTGTCACCATCATTATAACGAGACCTTTTATTATCACGCTTCTCCCGTCTCTTCTCTTTCTCCTCCCTCCTCGCTTCACGCCGCCTTCTCTTTTTACTTCTTTCATCGCCCTCGGAATCCTGTTCAATTCTCCCTGTCATTGGTTTGGGCATGGAATCATCATCTCTTTCAGATGACATGTCCCCAAATCTTTCTTGCAGGGAACTACGGGCTTCTTCGCTATTTTTCAGTACCCTGGAAGATCCATTGAGAAAGCGTATGGGTTTAATTTGCCATCAGAAAAAGAAGCAAAATGAGAAAGCCCACTACCAATAAAATTAAGTAAAGATATAAATTATCTTTATCCTACTTGTATAAGCCAAGGCCTTGGACTTGAGCAGCTTCAGCATGGCCTCCGCTCAAATCTTCAGCTGCAGATCCTCTCTTGATAAGTTCAGCATACTCATGCTTATCAATTCGATTTCCCTGGGAACGGGTGTTGCGCTTCGGAGCTAAGCCCAAAGCCTCCCGCATAAGTTGCTCTTCCTCCTCCTTGATCCTTCGAATCTCCTCCTTGACCGAGTCTGAATTGAGGGCAGCAGAATTCTTATCTCTAGCATACCAATGCAAATCCTTTCCTGTTTGATGGGCCAAAATCAAAAAATAAGTAAAGCCTATGTTTTTGTCTCCTCTTGAAAAAAAAAGGCAGTTTCCCTATGAAAAATAAGCAAAAAATATCTTCAGTAAAGATAGATTCAGGTAAAATATATCAATTTATAACATCGAATATTTAATAGTAATTGAAATATATTGACCAGACCAAAAATTGCAAAGTTGCTACAAAAAATGCCCAACTAAATTTCATGATCTCTAAAATGATTTGACAGAAAAATAAGACAAAAAGAGTGAATAGCGAACGGTTCATGACGCACTATAAAGAAGCTTATGATACTTCAGTTTTGTGATTCAGACAACATATTCACATGACAGCATTTCACCATAAATGTAAGTGATGTTTACCTTGGCAAACCTCTGGGCATAACAGCTAATAACATGATCTTTTTTTTTTTTTTTGGAGCAATGGTTTGTGGTAATAAAATTTACGAATACATGAAGTAAACCTTTATTTTAATCATAATATTTCAAGCTTCAAATTGTATTCATCGTATGTGGAGAAATTATCTTGGTTACATTTACCCATAATGACAATGGGAAGAAACACCTTACTAAGAGTAGCAGTTAATCTGCCATCTAACAAAGCACCAAGAAATGAAAAAACCAGAGTCACGAGGCCGGAAAATCTAGCAAATGCGTTTCTAGTCAGATAAAACAAAAAACTGCAGATTTTCAAAGCATACGTACGTGAAAAGATTGATTCAAAGCTTTTTAAAACACAATGCAAACAAAATAAAATACCTTTCTGCCATCTACCCACAGGAGCCATGATGCTGTGACCAAGGTAATTCTCACGGTGCTTATCAACTTTGACATCATCCCATTTGAATTCTGCAGGATAGAGGAATGAAACATTGACATAATAAGCTACATATGTTCAGAAAGGTACAATAGTAATCTATGATCAATATTCAATACCAATGACACTACTTTATGAGTGATAGACAGGGAGTGAAAACATATTTAACCGCTGAATCGAAACAAAATTTATCCTTCCACAAATAAGAGCAATTTCCAAAGTGAGATTACTGAACCTAAAATATAAATTTCTTTTGAACAAATGATAAACAGCTGCAGCTACTTGGGATGGTTTACCATAAATGCATTTCGTTTCCTTGATTTTTGATAATTTTTACAGCTTAGATGGATTTGGGATTTAGAAAATTGTAAATTTATGTATCATGATGCAAATATAGGCTATATATTAAAAGACTGATCAGGGAGAGTTTAAAGTTGGAAACATAAGACTGCGTTTCAACAAATCAAAAAAGGGGTTCATAAACTGTCAATACTGTGTGCAGATTTCCAGTGTCATGAACTCGAACAGTAAGAGGCTTTTTGGAATCTTTTTTTTTTTCCTGTCTTCTTTTTTTATTTCAAAAAACAGAAAATAAAACATAAAAACCTGTTTGCTTGTTTGCTTTTCAATTATTTTTTTTATTTTATTTTTAAACAGGTCTGTTTTTGTTTTTCACATAAAAACAACTAAAAACCAGTATTTAAAGTTTTTAAAATAGCTTCTTCACACCCATCCCCATTCCAACCGCGACCCCGGCCCCAACCCCAATGCATCTTCGACGCCGACGCCGATAGCCACCTTCTTCGATGCCTTCTCCTCCTCCGACGGTGACGAAGAGCAAGTCTTCGATCCACACTGGTGTGGAAAAGTTACTCCGCATCACGAAGACCTATGGAACTATGGCTGACAAAACATTGTCGGAGGAATGGGTGAGGTGGATTTCATCAAGGCCACAAGGAGGGAGAAACTCGGAGGGTTGAAGGAGTAGTGGGAAAGGTATATGTCTTTACCTTTGAAGATGAGACCATGCCGTACCTGACGATAAGGTCCAAGTAGTGTTTTGCTGCACATGTGGGAATTGGAGAGGAAGATTACAGACTTTCTTAGGGTTTTTGTTTTTCGTTTTCCCATACCACGAACTTATTCTTCCAAGTACATCTATGAGAGACAATGACAACGCGCGAAAGGATGGTCGAGCGATGGTGATTCAGTAGCTTTGCTTTCATGCTTCCAACTTCCACCGCTTCATATCAGATTTTTTAGAGAAAAGGTTCAAGGGCAACAATTTCTTCTTTTTTTTTCTGTTTTTCCAAACATGTTTTTTACATTTTGTTTTAAAAATAAAAAAATCATAAAAATATCAAACTTGTTTTTGTTTTATGTTAAACTATAAATAAAAACAAAAAACAATAACGCAAGTGATCCCAAACACCTCCTAAGTTAAAACTTAAGTAGGTAAAACCAAAGCCGGACCAAAATATTATAAGAAGGCATCAATTACATAACTCAAGATAAGTTTTCAGAAAAAAAACTAGCTAAAAGTATCATATGCTGGATATTTATGCAGATTCCATTTTTCTGCCCGCACTTTCTATTCTTCCAGGCATTTGACATTCACCCCCTATTCCTTCCGTCCGCCACAACAAAAATGACACTTTAATTCCCACGGGATCTTAAATCTCACATATTTTCTTTGTTTTGCCTTAAATCCCTTATAATCCCTCCTTATTCAGTCCTGTGGCTAAATCAAATATGACAATTTTAATTTCAATTGGATCTTAAATTCCATTTTTTCCTTTATTTGGATCATAAATCTCATTTTTCCTTTGTTTTGCCTTGAATACACAGCAAAAATGACAACTTTAATTTCAATGAGATCTTAATTCCCATTTTTCTTACGCTTGAGTTAAATCCACAGCAAAAATGACAACTTCAATCCCCATGGAAGTTTAAATCCTGTTTTTCCTTTGTTTTGTCTTAGATACCAAATAATCGCGTTGGAAGTTGGATATATAACATTTAGAGAATCTGAAGCGCAAAAACATTTTAAAAATGTTGAGAAGAATGATGATTCCTTTTCAATGGAGGAATGACTTGAGTACTACGAGGTTAGTGATTAGGTTTTAAGTTTAAATGTCGGTTAATTATTGTTTTTAGCTTTATGTTTGACATGATCAATTGTAAACTTTATTTGTGTTGCAAAAATTATGGTATTTGCTTTCAATTTTCTTTTTCATAAATATAATATTTTCCTTTGCTTTCTTAATTAACTTAATTTCTTATTGGAATTAAAACAAATTTAACAATCTTTTTATTGATTAATTAATTGCATTAAAATTTAATCTTATTCAAGTAACTTTAATTAATATAATTACAGTTAATTCACATTACAATTTGCCGTGAGGTGAACTGTTATAACAATAAGGATTTCAAAGTTAAGAAATAAATTTTTTGACTTCAAGGGTGAATACCTTTTTTTGTGTAGAGCAGTATTGATTGTCAGATATACTAAACAAAGTTTTCTGAAGCAACAAAATGCTAAACAAATTAAACTTCATAATGGAGAAACGTACCTTGTACATAACCATAATAGAGACTTAGCTAAAGCATATATGACTACATAACAGACACAACAAAGGAATCCATTTAAGATGATATTACAAGTAACAAAAATAGCTACTATACTCAACAGAACAGTGAAGGATAGATATGAGCCTTTTAAGGCCTTGTTAAGGAGTGTAGATACTTCAAATCAAGCAGAATTAGTCGGAAAGCCTCATAGTTATAAGCTGAAGAAAGCAATACGTGCTTTTATTGTTTGGCAACGGGAAGTCCAACTGTATTACCTTTTTAAGGTTTTAGTAGGGGAACTAAGAAAAATTACTCAAAAATACATTTGGTTTGCTCTCTGCATCAAAGGCAATACAGTGCTACAGCTGAGCCTATTCTTCCTTGCAAAGATCCTTGATAGCTGGGGTTAAATGAGAAGAAGAATGGCACCGGATTTGGGGGCTTGTGAGTTGCTTACCTATTTGGTAGGCATACCCATTAAAGAGCGATGAGCAAGGAATTAAAAGGTGGAAAAGGAAGGGTGAGCTGTGAAAAATTCGCAAGAAATTCTTAAGTTTGGCACGTTCCAAGACCTGATACCTAAATAACATTATCAGACCTGCAACCAAATTCACTCAATGCATGATCACTTCTAAAAGTACATGATATTAACTCTCTTCGTTCATAAATTAGACATAGAAAAAGAGCATGTATGATATAACGCAACATGGAGAGGCAAACTATTTGATATTTTGATGCTCAGAGATAACCTAAAAATCAATCATTCCATGAACAGATTGACGTTTAAGAAACATCATCAACAACCAAATTTATGAACATGGTCAACATTACTTAAGTAAGATGTTTACTTTATTATTTTAATTACTATCATCAGTGATACATAGACTGTATTAAAGTGCATCAAAACTCAATATTTGTACAGTTGATGATGCAAGATTTAGACAGACCAAATAGCATCAGCAGTTGTAAATTTATGGGTGCTTTAATGCATAATAAGCTAGTTTGATGGTTTGGACAGCTCCAATTCAAACATCTGGGCCAAAATACTTGCAGAAGAACATGAAAGTGATATGATTAATGATAAAGATTTAAGTTGTGGGGGATAATGATGAAAAAGAAGAATATTTGAAATTTTTGTTTTGCGGCAATGATGAAGATTGTTTAGATGACATGCTGAATTTTTTAGTCTCAATTTTTTAGTTGAACATTGGATTTGAAAGTCTCCATGAATACTTTTGGTTGCCTTTTTTATAAAAGACAAGCACCTTTTATTGAATGTTATTCTAATAATATACATTGCTACATATGTGATAGTTTCATTTTTCAATCTAAGTATTTTTAGTAGGGATAGTTTCATTTACAAATCTAATCATTTTTTCCTAAATTTCATGTAAGCAAAAGCTAAACATCTTAATTTCTAGCTATGCGATATCTAGATTCTTTTAAAGATATTTTTTTTCCATTAGATAACGCATTTTTAATATATTAGTCATAATTTGTTTATTACTTGCACATTTTCTATAACATAAACAGTAGAATTTACATGGAGGAAAGTCCCTCCTTATTTACAAATTTACCAAATTTACAACAATAACAACAAATCCAAATCTTTACCACATTAAGTAGGGTCGGCTAATAGAATCCTTTTTCTCCAATACATCCTATTGAGTATCATATTTTCATTTAATTTTAATAAATTAAAATTATTTTTTGGACAACAATGATCATTTACAAACTTACAAAATATATCTTAACCTAAATTAGGAAAGGAAATAATTTTGAAATAAAAAATAGAATAATATAAAATATGAAGGAAGTAAACTAATCAAGGATTTCCTAAGTTATTTCCTAAGTTGTCCCAATCAAATCATCCAAGGTTTGTAGTGGTCGACCGGCCCACATGAGAGAGGGAAAAATGAAAAAAACCGAACCTTCTAAGATTTCCACTCTCCCTCAAGCCGGGTCATAGAGGTTGTAGAGACCAAATTTGGTATTGAATTCAGAAAGGTGCTTAAAGGCAGAGCTTCGGTGAAGACATCATCAATTTATTGGTGTGTAAAGATGTAGCTTAGCTTTATAATTCCCCCAACAGCATTTTCGGCGGTGAAGTGTCTATAAATTTCAATATGTTTGGTCCTATATTAGACACAAATTCTTGGCAATACTAATAATTGCTTGACTGTCACAAAATATATGTATAATTCTCCATGTCACCAGATTTTCTCTTGAGAACCCTCAAAATTTTATGCATTATCTCCAAATGCTCTTTATTTGGGCTATTATGTGTTGGCTCACAATATTGAGCAAGTCGGCGCGAAGTGAATATCTGGCATCGCATGTGATTAGTAGATGATTTTCTTACCAATATTTGATATCTTCTCTTATCCATAGAGTTGCTTTTTTCTCCCCTCTTTGACTTCGGGTTGGTACATTAAAATATTAACCAACTTACATCCAATAA